GTATCCTTCGAAGGAAAGAGCGAATGATTTACTGAGCTTGAACAGAATCCGGCTCAGGAGAGTGACAGGACTCATAACGGGACACTGTCACTTTAGGAAACATCTACATAAGCTAAAGCTTGTAGACAGTCCGGTCTGCCGAGGATGTGAATCGGCGGATGAAACTTCTCTGCATATCCTGGGCGAGTGCCCGGGATTTACACGTAGCAGAATGGCGCTCCTTGGGAGACCCTATTTGGAACCCAAGGAACTGAGATAAGTGTCAGCAAGGAAGCTTTTGGACTTTGTAAAAACGACAAATCTACTTGTCGAATAGGACTAGTAGTGGGACGCACAATAGGCCTAATCAGGCCGCAGTGCTATGGGACTTATTAGGACCAACCACTAGAAGTAGAAGTAGTAGTAGTAGACTATGCCGTGTTAATCGTTATCTAATTGACTGATTTTTACAATTGTCTACATAATGTTGAGACTAAACTTACAAACGAGCCTATACCTTCCTCTTGTGACTCCGCATAGCAATACGGGACGGATTAGTCAATCTCATTTAATCTATCCTTATAGCTTGGAAAATCCGCCAAAAAAAACAGCTATTTGACATATTATTATTTTCCTAACAACATTCTAACAACTTTAAATATCTTGGAATTCCTACGTGTTCTTTCGAATGCATTTCGCGCGTTGTTAGAAATATCGATTTTTCTATTTACACCAGATGCTCAACACAAGGCCCCGACGGTCTAAGTGAACTTGTTCAAAAAAATATTACTAAATTTCATGGGGCCTTCTCCGAAGGACGGCCTTGTGCCGACGCTGAACCTACTTGAAGACTCTTAACTTTTCGATAAAATTAGTGTTGACTGAAATATTTTACTTTTTGGACCATCCGTTCCAAGAACTAACAAATAAATTACTACGCGTCCCGGCTTTTGTTACAAAACTTAAACATATTATTTCAAATATAATAATTTTTTGGTAGTATAAGTGATATTAGTCGTGAGTTCTACTATTTTAATAAACATACAGTAACAGAAAATAGTGAAAATGACCTTAATTATCCAAATTAACTACTACAGTGTGTTTCCGAAAAAATAAAAAGCAGGAATCCAAGATGTTGAGAAATATTTTTACGGACATTGTTACATGTTTTTTGATAGGTTAGCATAGAATTTAAAATAGAAAAAATAGGTAGCAAACAGCAATAACCAACAAAATAAAAAAGAACCGAAACTCTCAGGACTAAATAAATGAAATATAAGAATAGCTAACGTTAATAAAATACAATGATTCCATGTCCCAAAAGAAACGCAGGATTTCGTATGAGCAAAAAAGATTTTGTTAATTAAAAAGTTGGCAAAGTTTTTACAAATTTTTAAAGGGCAGACATTAGATATGAAAGAGGATATGAAACAGATGTCCTCCGCCACTCGTTTGGCATACTCGATTTTTAAGAAAATCCTGTATCAGGCTTTCGCAAATCTGCGGTTGAATTTTGTTGATAACTCTTTCTGCCATTAATTCATTAATTCACTTGAGCAAGTAAACTTTGGACTTTACGAATAGTATATTCAAATTTGGCAACTAATCTTCTCACAGTTGTTTCATTCGAGGCATGTAATTTGCGAACAGAATTAGTAATTTTTAGTCATAAGCAAGTATTGCTTAAATAACTTTTTTCTGTATTAAATTTCTGTTCATTGAATAACAAAGAAAGGTTCATACACTAGTTAGTTGTCAAGTCGCATTAGTTTAATAAGTTGCTTAAAAACGAAATGCATTGAAACTTGTATATGCAAATATCTCGATAACCAAGGGAGATATCTAAATCGAATAAGAGTAACTTTTTTATGAAACAAAGGACGTTATTTCATATTTTAAATACATAATGTCCGTAATTCTAAAGGCAAAACAGTTTTTCCTGTTTACTACAACATAAGACCCTAAACAATGCTGCCAACTCTTCGGAATGAAAATAGGACACAATTCAAATCCTGCGTTACTTTTGGCACAGCCTATATTTGTATTATCGAATCACTGGTTTAATAATTAACAACAGAGGTTGTATTCGGTGATTCTTCTGGTATAACTAGTCCAGTAACAACTTATCAGCTACTATTGTTTGACAGCACAACGGGCTTAATTTAATAGAATAAACACAAGTGAACAAAATTACACATAGCATTAAAGATCGACAAGAAAATAATTTAATAACAAACGGTCAACGATGCGTACGTACCCACTGTTCAAATTTTAATAAAATTACTTTTTTCATGTAGACTGCTTTAAT